ATAATGTCAAATTCATTTTTTGGCCTCCTCTTCGATCAGGAACAATCTTTTTGACTAAGGGCCCCCACTTCGCAAGTCTTGCACGCCCCTCCCTCACCCAGCACTGCAGAGCTTTGGGAAGGTGAAAGTCAAGGTCACCCAAGGGCATCCACTAGGGGTGGTGGCTGAGCCGAGCCCCTTAAGGGAATTCAGCTGAGCCTGTGTTGTGTTGCTTTGGGATCCACCCCTCCCAGTGCCTCAGATCTGTATAGCCCTTGGAGGGACTTGAGCATTTGAGGCTTGTCTAAGGGAAAGAAAAGGAAAAAAAAAAGGCAGTGAAGGAGACTGTACATAAAGACATGGCAAAAATCTTAATTATAGCAATAGAGTTATGGGGTGATGTTCAAGTGGGCAGCTCCATTTAAAAAAAAATAAATATGTGACTGAATCTGTGAAGCTGCGTAGCAAGAAGTACGAGAGGTCTTATTAATGAACCGCCTACCTTGTAGACAGTAATTTGTACACTGTATAGTTTTGTTAAGAATTTTTTTTTTAAATTAAAGTTCCCAAGTTTGTAAAGCTAACTTTTTAACAGTTATAATGGAACTGTATGTTGTTTCCATTTTTAAAGTAAACAAGAATATTCCTTGTTTAGAGACTTGGACTTGAGTTAAAACTCTCCAGTCTCTTAAGTTATGTATTAAAAAAAAAAAAAAAGAAAAAAGAAAAAAAAAATCTGTCCATGTTAGGAGTTATTTCACAGATTCCTGTGCTTAAAAAGCGTAGGACACTAATCCTTTTAAAAAATGTAAATGGAGAAAAGTTATATTTTATGAAGGTTATTTTGTTGTATTTAGTATTGGAAAAGTTGGTTTTCAGAGCATTTCAGAATGTCGAAAGCACCACTGTCTTTTTATTAGTATATACGGCCTTTAGCAAAAGTTTTTGTGATTGTTACGTGATGGTATTTAAGGTTAAGTTTCACAGAGCATTCAGGATAGGCAGAAAGCGAAAACAGTGCTGTGTCTCACAGAACGTGTCCTCAGGGAGCAGAAACTTGGATTGGTGACTTGTAGCTTCATAAGGACTCAACGAAAAGATTGCACAGGGACACCTTCGGCAGTATGACACCAGGGCATGTTCTTACCTAGATGCCAACTCCTATGTAGAGTGTGAAACAATGAAGGCTGCAGCAGGTTAGCTCATATGCAATGTATAGTGTTCACTTCGAATGAAACAATCCTCCAACATTGCTGGCAGATAGGCCCCAAGCATGACATTCAATATAGTTTACATGCCCCTGCCAAGGTCTTTTGTTAACACAAACCAGCTGCATGCTTCCTGGACTTTACAAAAATTGGGTTTCTATAGAAAACTTTTTTCTTTCTTTCTTTTTTTTTTTTTTAAATAATGTGCAGGCTATTCAAGCTCAAATAGTGAGAGCTCTAAATTGAATGTTCTCCGTGCTGAAGGAGCTGAAGGCTGCCTTCTTCATATTTTGCACTTTCTGGTAGCGCCCCCTGTTTGGTTTTCTTGGGTTTTATTTTTCTAATTCCTTCAAATTGTGTGGGTGGAGTGGAGCACTGCAGTTGGGGGGATAACATGGACCGCTGATTTTGCCCTTTGACCCTGCACAATGACCTTTGCATCAGCCAAACTCATTGCCATGACAACTCTTTGTACTGTGTCTGTGCCACAGATCTGTTGGTCACATTGTTAATATGAAGGGGACAAGTTGGAGACGGTCAATTTTTACATATTTTTTGTTGCAATTTTTTTTTTGTTCTTCAATGGTTGTAAGTAGTTTGTTTCGCTCGCTCTTTTTTTAAGTAATAAAAGGGTTCACTAGTTACTACTCTA